AATTAGCATTCTCTCTTGATATATACTATGTCCTTACTTGCACTTTTCGTTCAGGCAGTCATCATACTATATCTCAGAGATAATCAAATCGGAGATGTTGGAGCGCAACATTTGGCTGATCTATTACGACATAATACAGTAATTCTCATTCTCTCTCCATCTGTATTATGTATTTACCTCCATGTTTTTATCTAGACACTCACCATGCTAAATCTGGAAGATAATGGAATCGGAAGTGTGGGAGCACAATATTTGGCTGATGGACTACGACATAACATAGTAATTACCATTCTCTCTTCATCTATACCATGTATTTAACTGTGCGTTTTCATCTAGACACTCACCACATTAAATCTCGGAATTAATTCAATTAGAGCTGTTGGAGCACAACATTTGGCTGATGCATTACGACATAACACAGTAATTAGCATTCTCTCTTGATATATGTCATGTATTTACTTCACTTTTTTATCTAGACACTGACTACATTAGGTCTGGAACATAATCAAATCAGAGATGCTGGAGCACAACATTTAGCTGTTGTATTACAACAGAACACAGTAATGAGCGTTCTCTCTACATCTATACCATGATTTTACCTGCACTTTTTCATCTAGACACTCACCACACTGGTTCTTGAATATAATTATATCGGAGCTGTCGGAGCACAACATTTGGCTAATGCATTACGACATAATAGAGTAATTCGTATTTTATCTTCATCTATACTATATCTATATCTGCATTTTTGTGCCTAGACACTTACCACACTAAATCTCAGAGGTAATGATATCAGAGCTGTTGGAGCACAATATTTGGCTGATGCATTACGATATAACACAGTAACTACCATTCTCTTTTTATTTATACCATATCTTCACCTAGACTTTTTCTTACATCTAGACACTCACCACATTAAATCTCAGATATAATCAAATCGGAAGTGTTGAAGCACAATATTTGGCTGATGGATTAAAATATAACACAGTAATAACTATTCTCTCTTTATCTATACTATATTTTTACCTGTACTTTTTCGTTTAGACACTTAATACACTAAAACTCCAGTGTAATCAACTTGGAGCCCACATCGAACGTGAAATCAATGAATATGTTGCACGCAATGAAAGAGAGAGTAAATCATAAAAGTTAATGTAGAATATATTTCAACAATGGATATATAGTTAGTGCTGATGATAATTATTTTTTTCTGATCGTGTAATTTTCATAAATGCCATAAATAAAACTGCTTGTTTTTCAATTTAATCTGTATTCTCGTAATGATGTTTGTTTAGAGCTTTTGCTATGATGGGAAAGAAATTATGCAAAACAAAACTCTCAAAGCTTGTTTTCAGTGAGGATGCAGCGGAAAATGTTTAGTAGGGCAGTAGCAAAACTCTCAAAGATCCTTCCTGATGATTTCGAACAATAAAAAGCCCTCTGTAGTAATAGTAAGATCCTGAGAATTTATTTCCAAAAATGCTGATGTAAAAGGTTCTGTTGGATGATACTGAACCAAGGGTGTGGATGTGGGTGTGGATATGTGGATGAGGTATAAAGATAATATACACGCTCACACCCATCCACACCCTTTATGACCATTTATGAAACTAAATTACAAGAGTATGATTTACAATATCATCAAATATTGAGAGAATTCAAATCTGATGTTTCAGCTGATAGCCAGAAAGTTCGTAATATTATTTTGAATGATATCAATCGATATCCGTTGTATTATACCAATCAATTAAGACAAAATGCTTCCAAAAGAATGCTAGATTTTTAAAGAAGACTTCAACGCAATCATCGACGTTCATCTTCAACAAAGGAAATTATTGTAGAAGATTATCATTGGTTGGTTTAGGTACATGTGGTTCATCAAGTTGATCATAATAGATACGCATCAATGAAATAAGTTCAGATATATCTGTTTCATTAGCTACATGGACAGTAATTGAGGACATCTTTCGTAAACTGATGCCATACGACTCTTATCGATTACTCATATTTAAATAAGAACAGAAAAGAACAACAAACAGGATTTCTTTTTATCAAAAATGACGACAGTCTCCGTCGAAGATACTCTTTGGAAGATAAATATTGTCAATAGAAAGTGATCGGTGGTTAAGTTATACACTTTCATTATTGATGATGCTGATTTTTTTTCAATCCTTGAAATTGATTTTAGATAATAATGAAAAATTTGATTGAAGACTTGCTTTTATTCTTTCTTCTTACGCTCATACTTTTCTCACCCTTTGTAATATTGTTCACATTTATTCTCTTATCCTATTTTTGGTCTTTACCAATGACATTACTCATTGGTTTGATTTATGGTAGTTGGATGTATATTGATCGATATACAGATGTTCGAGGAGGACGATGGTCGAATTGTTTACGTCGATTATCTATTTGGTCAATAGTTTCTAATTATTTCCCAATAAAATTAATCAAAACTGAAGATCTTGACCCAAATCGAAATTATATCTTTGGATATCATCCCCATGGCGCATTAACTTTCGGTGCTGCGGTCAATTTTCTAACAGAAGCAACACATTTTTCAACTCTATTTCCTGGTATTCGTCCTCATTTAATGATTCTTCGTTATATATTTCTCGTTCCATTTTCACGTGAATTATTTCTTAATTTGGGTAATGATAACATTATAAATCCATCATCGAACGTTTTTCTATTCTAGGTGCATGTCATGTCTCAAGAGAGAGTTGTCAATATTTCTTAAATGGTTTATCCGGTCAAGGCAATGCTGTTATTATTGTGTGTGGTGGTATGGCAGAATTGTATTTAACAGAATATGAAACGATGATATTCTATTTAAAAACGAGAAAAGGCTTCATACGACTAGCATTAGAAAATGGGTTAGTAAATATGTAATTAGAATAAATTGAAAAGAGGAAATTTTGTTTATTAGTGCATCATTAGTGCCGGTTATATCATTTGGAGAAAATGAACATTATCGACGATATAAGAATTGGATTTCAAATCGATGGACTTGGGGACGATCAATCATTGGTATTCTACCTCTTCGTCATCCTGTAACGACTGTTGGTAAGATAAGACTTTCTTTCTCATTAGATTCTTTAAAAAAATGAATTTTATCATATTCTATCAGTTGGTAAACCAATTCATGTCAATCAAATCATTGATCCATCTCAAACAGATATCGATCAACTTCATGATCAATATCTTCAAGCAATTGAACAGCTGTATGATACAAACAAATCAAACTATGGTCTTGAACATGTGAAATTAAAGATCATTTAGATAACATTTGAACAATGAAGCTGATTTCTCTTGATAGTCTTAAAGACTTCGATCAATCAATCATACATTGAGTAACTAACATGCGTGAAGGAGAACATCTGTTAAGCTCATATGTCAATAGCGTAATGTATATTTTAAGCACAAAATAAAATAAAATAGAATTATTCGATTATTTCCTGCATCACAAACATAAAGATTTCTTTCCTAATCAAATAATAAATCCTAAGGATAGTTTAAGTGATCTCCTTGACAATTTTCACCAATAACAATTCTATTCTTTCTTATCCTTTGGAGTAAGTTGTTTATGGCTATAACGATTTTATACGACATATATCGGTTATATCATTTCATCAATTTTTATTATGCACAATTATTTTTTATTTAATAAAGAATCAATATATTGATATATAAGAATCTTTCTTTTCTTGTAATTCTAGAAGATATAAATGACTATTTTTCATGATTAGAATTTTAAAGAGAAAGAAATGAAAAGATTTTTTATTTATATATTTTATATAATAATATTTATCAAATAGATTGAATTGTTTTTTTTAAATGAGGAAGTATTTGATTGATATAAATCTACAATTTATTGCATTTGGTGGGTGTGGTTGAAACAGAATAGCAAAACCCACACTTTTATCAACACTTTCAAAAGGTTCTGCCAGGGTCTACTAGGATCTATCAGGGTCTATCCCGCTTTATGATGCTGAGAGTGAGGGCGGAAATACTCACGCATAATCAAGACCCTATCAGGCCTTAGTAGAACCTTTATAGATTCTTTATGTATACTTTGTGGGTTATTCTATAACTTATTTGCTTTTATCAAAAGACACTCACTTTCTGAAACAAATTTTGTTCTACTGCATTGTAGTTTTCGTTTGCTTGCGACAAACTTGTTTATTTGTGTTGATAAGAGCGAACACAGGAGTTACCTCTTGCAAGGACAGATGAATACAAAGAACAGAGATAAACAACGTGCATATAAAGAATTTATTTTCATCTAATTCAGTCATTTTTTATTGCTTTAATCAGATTCTTATAAACATCTTATTAAACTTCTCCTCACTTTGTAAGGTAAGTTAATATAACTTGATCATGGCTGAGGATGTGTGAGATACAACACACACATATATCCACATCCACACATAACATTTAAGAACTCTATATTATTTGGTTTCTTAAATTAAAATGGCCACTGCTGTTCTACCAAATGATGATTTTTACACAAACACCAATGATAAGTCTCTAGAAATATTCTCTCTTATTTGGCTCGATGCAATTGTAAACGTTAAAGACACTCGAGACACAGAAGTGAAATTACGTTCGATTATTAATCATATCAAGAAATTTCAAGATATAAAACAATGTCAACGATATATTGAACAAACATCACAAAAAGATCGATTAGTAATTATTGTTAGTGGTCAATTAGGACAAGAAATAGTACCCCACATTCATCAACTTCGACAAGTTATATCAATTTATGTTTATTGTATGGATAAGAAGAGTAATGAACAATGGGCTTACAAATTTGCAAAAGTAAAACTATGCTGAAAGATTGTTATTCTATTTTATTATTTTTTCTACAGATAAAATCTGTTGTTGTTGATCTTAATGAACTTGTTTCTCAAATTACAACAGATCATAAAATTCAGAAAAAGGTAGAAGAACCATTATCAATCAATATTTTCACAACAAATGTTGGTACAGGTAAATCAACAACAGGAGTTAATGGACAATTTGTTTTTTCCCAAGTCCTCGTTGACTGTCTGCTACGACTAAAATCAACTGACATAGACAATAATGAACTTATTAGTCTTTGTAAGAATGAATACGAAGGAAATTATACTGAACAAAACAATCTTCGTGAATTTCAACAAGATTATTCACCCAATAAAGTTTTATGGTGGTACACAAGAGAAACATTCTTTTATAAAACTCTTAATGCAGCTTTACGTACACAAAATATTCATATGATTTTTTTATTTCGATCATTTATTCGTGATATTCATCAACAATTGCAAAAATCTCAATCTAAGCGTCCTTTGCAAGTGTATCGAAGTCAACTAATGTCAATCGATGAGTTAGATGGTCTTAAAAATAATATTGGTCAGTTCATTTCTATAAACTCAATGTTTCCACTAGTAAACAACGTACAACAGCTCTCTTCCTCCTAGGTGACATAAAAATACAGATTGATTCAGAACGAGTATTATTTGAAATAAATGCTGATCCTACGATAGTCACTACAAAACCATTTGCTAATATTAGTAAACATAGTTATTTTCCAGATGAATCAGAAGTTCTCTTTATGATTGGTTCTATTTTTCGTCTTAATTACATTAATCGTAATGATGATCAAATATGGATCATTAAAATGACTTTATGTAATGATGATGAACATGATTTAAAACAAGTTCTCATGTATATGAAACAACAAATCGAAAGTAGTGAAATGAATCTTCGAATATTAGGAAATGTATTATGGGAAATGGGAAAATTTGATTTAGCTGAGGAATATTTTATTCGTTCGTTGAAACAACTTCCACAGAATGATCCATTATATATCAGTTTATATGAGGACCTTGGTAAACTCGCATCACAGAGAGGTGACTATGATATGAGTGTGAAATGGCGTCAAAAATTACTTGCATTCAAAGAGGAAAACTCATTAACTATCAATGTTAGTACTAATAAAACAAACAATTCGATCGGTAAGTTTATTGAAAGAAAATCTCTGATTTTTAAACGAATGATCTATATAAAAACAATTTTTGATCACCGAAAACAATTTTTCAAAATTCAAAAAGATGAAACTGGTTAAGAGAAAGAAATATTCTTTTAACAAAATTTTGTTTTGCGTTTATCCGTTAGTCATTTTAGATGACAGTAAATTATTTAGAATTGAAATCTTATCGATACATTCAATATCGAATACCATAAACTCTATTGATACTTTGAGAAAACTACGTTTCGTACCACTTCGTCATTTCGAACTTTCGGAGCAGATTTCTGTTACGAACTTCCGACATAATTATACAAAATTTTCGTCACGGATGTCAGAATGATAAAACTGAAATTAATAAGAAGGATGTCCGTAATGAAATATATTCGAAGATCGTGAGTAGCATTTACTACCACTCCTTTAAGATTAAACAGAAACTTTGAATGGAAATCGGATTAACGAAGTGCGAGAGTCTATAACGATCAATACAGAAAAGTTATAATGAAATCACAAGACGATCGAAATGAAAACGACAGCATGTACGTGAAAGAGTTAAAGTTTACGCAGTGTCGAGAGAATTTTAAGTAATATGCTGGTCTTCAAATTATCACAGTCTATAAGAAAAATCGACAGAATAGTCATTGTATTCGTAATGATCTCCTGGTATATTCATTCACGAACTTTCTGTTATTCTTAACTTATATTCACAGGCGACATTCAATGTTGGCCGTTACGATCTCCAAAACTATATCAGGCACAGCAAAAAACATTTTATTCTGAACTTTGAATCAGTTCGCTAGGCTTATCTTAGTTTTTCTGTTATGATCTTTTTTGTACAACAATAATTGCCAGCATCCGTAACAACCTTCAAAAATAAAATTTATTTCCAAATTAATGCGAAAAATCGTCAAAAAAAATTCTGATTCCGAACACCCGGTCAAGCTGTCCAATGTTCGTAAAAGGTGGCACGAAACGTAGTACACCCTTTTGTTCACATTTATTCACTCATTTCATTCAGATATTTTTAAAAATCTTTTTTCTTTTAGAACAACCAGTTCTTGTCAATCATATTAATATCGACAGAAAATGGAAACAACATGGAATTACTATTGCTGGAGGAAATCGATATGGCAATCAATTAAATCAACTCGCTCGTCCTCGTGGTATCTATATTGATGATGATCATCAAACTATTTATATTGCTGATTGTTGGAATCATCGTATTGTTGAATGGAAAAATGGAGCAAATACTGGTCAAGTTGTTGCAGGCGGAAATGGACAAGGAAATCGAAGTGATCAATTGAATCGTCCGAGAGATATGATTGTTGATAAAAAGAATGATTCTATTATCATTTGTGATGATGGAAACAGACGAGTGGTAAAATGGTCTCGTCAAAATGGTAAAACTGGAGAAACAATCATTTCTGATATTGATTGCTGTCGTCTGACAATGGATAACAATCGAAATCTTTATGTCTCTGATTGGAAGAAGAATGAAGTGAGACGATGGAAACAAGGAGAGAGAGAAGGAACAATAGTAGCAGGTGGAAATGGTGAAGGAAATTATCTCAATCAACTCGATTGTCCTAGTTATATCTTCGTTGACAAAGATCATTCAGTTTATGTATCGGATCGTCACAATAAGCGCGTCATGAAATGGATGAAAGGTGCCAAAGAAGGTATTGTTGTTGCTGGTGGAAAAGGTCAAGAGAATAGTTTGACACAATTGTCTAATCCTCAAGGAGTGATTGTCGATCATTCGGGTAACGTTTATGTGGCTGACTATTTCAGTCATCGAATAATGCGTTGGCGTGAAGGATCATGCGAAGGTAGTATTGTGGTTGGCGGAAATGGAAAAGGAGAACAACAAAATCAGTTCAATTATCCCAGAGGTTTATCATTCGATGTTCAAGGTAATCTCTATGTTGTCGATTATGGGAATCATCGAATACAAAAATTTGGTATTGATTTGAATTAATTTTGTTGAGATTGATGATGAAATGAATAATTAAATTTTTTTGTGAAAATATTTTTATTTATTTTAATTGAAAACTAAATAAATGTAAAAATTCAAAATGAATTTTTGTTATTAATTGAATTAAGTTTGATTTATTGATAAATGTATCTTTTTCGATATAATTTGTTAAAATAATAAAATAAAAGTTTGATTTATTTGTTAGTTTTGTTGTGATTGATTTGATATTGTATTTTAATAATTAAAATAAATTTTGTGATTTGATTAAGATACACATAGAAGTGAGTTTCAAATTCGATTGAAGATGAGATAATCTGAGAGGATAGAAAAGTAAGATGGAATGATATTTTTGTGTTTTAAAGTTGTGTATATGTATGAATAAAAAAAATGAATGATAGGATGAAATGAAATAAAATTATCTTTAAAATAAATAAATTTGTTAATTTATTTAATTCGATCTATTGTGTTGATAATAATAATGATAATGAACTATTTGTTATTTGAATTTTGAGGGTGTGGGTGTGGTGGGTGTGGGTGTGGGTGTGAATGGGTGTGGATGCGAATGGGTGTGAGTGTGGGTGAGTATAAGATGATATTAATACACCCAAAACTATACCAACGCACATCTATACCCTATATCAAAACCCACCCACACCCACCCTCAGCATTCCAACCACGAAGAGAAGAGAATTGTTATTGTAAAAGATCAATATTGTTTTTTATGTCTACCATGCTCAGTATTTATCAGATCGGATAAAGGTGAATGTCATGTACAAACTATATTCATATTAAATAATTTGCACGTTCATTAAACAGAAATAAAAATGGTAAAATAGCATGAAATAATTTACAATTTACAGAATGAATATAATGTGAAACGGTCTTCGATAATGTCGAAATCTGATTAATGGCTATTGTTCGTCTATTGTTCGAGACGATATACAAGCTCAATACTGTTTCAGGGCGAGGGTGTGTGTGGATCAAGAGAAGATAGATATACTCACACTCACATTCACCCATCTTATTTGTCATAGTCATTACATGTAGTTGCGCAATAAATGTGTGTGTATGTTGATAAGAGTCTGTTGTGTTTATTGACAAAGAAAGATGAATAAAAAAAAAGAGACGAGATCAGTTACCTTTTATTTCGTCGTAAAAGCAAGGTATGTACCACGTGAGTGTCTTATTCAAAACAACTTCCGAAACAGAATAACGCATTATTATCAAATAGACGCTTAAAAAATTTATAGTTAGAATGAAGAAAAATGTTGTTTTTTATACATTCTTTGTTTTTGTATATCAATTAAAAGGATTTCTTGATTCCTCATGGACACTACTGATGAAGCCAATGTTGCACAATATATTCAACGTTTGTCAGACATAGATATAGAACCACTTGAAAAGCTTATGCCTATTGATGGATATGAAGATATGCCTCTTGTTCCTCTTGATATTGCTCTTGAACCACTGGTTTCTTCGATATCTGGTATTCATATTTATGCATATTCTGCTAAAGAGCGATGTAAAAATCCACCAGCTAATGAATTGACAATTGATGAATCAGCTTCCATTATGCTTTATTCGATGGATTCGAAGTTCGGAAATAAAAGTTTTCATGTTATATTGAATGAAACATTAAAATCAGCAGATAAGAATAAACTCGAACCATGGCTTCTCTATCTGAAATTATTTTTTACTGCCCTTTCTCATCTTCCATCTACGCGTCGACAGGTTTATCGTGGAATTAAATTAGATTTAAGTAAAGAATATCCAGTTGGTGAAACAATTGTATGGTCAGGATTTTCTTCCTGTACAACATCAATTAATTTTGTACAATCAGAATTATTTTTGGGCACAACAGGACCGAGAACGATATTTAGTATTACATGTTATTTTGGGAAAGATATTGGAAATCATTCCTATTATTCATCAGAAAATGAAACTGTTATTTTTCCTCCTACACAATTTAAAGTGATCGATTGTCTCAATCAAGGTAATGGTCTTCATATAATTCAACTTCAAGAAATACAACCATGCTTTTCTCGTCTGCATGCACCAGTGTTTTCTTCAATTTCAAAGAAACCATCTTCTAGTGAGTGATTATTAATCAGTGAATATCTTATTGTCGTCTATTTTAGAATCGACATTTAACTCAATTATCGACCATAATACAAAATGAAAACAACGTGGTGTTACTTTGACTAAACGTCATTCTCGAGGTCCAAAACCTGATTGTCTCTATTTTCCATACAGTGTATATGTCGACGACGATCAAACTATTTATATCGCTGACCATGGCAATAACCATGTTATAGCATGGAAGTATGGTGCTACCAGTGGTCAATTAATAGCTAGTGGAAATGGAAGTGGATTTAATGGGAGTGGATGTGAAACGAATCAATTGAATAAGCCAATAAATGTGGTAGTTGACAGAAGAAGAAATCATGTTTTTATTTCCGATTCAGGTAATATGCGCGTAGTGCGATGGCCTTGTGAAAATGGCACAAATGGAGAAGTAATCATTTCGAATATTTCTTGTCGAGGGTTGGGAATAGATAATAATGGAGATCTTTATGTCTCTGATTGGAAGAAGAATGAAGTGAGACGATGGAAACAAGGAGAGACAGAAGGAGCAATAGTAGCAGGTGGAAATGGATGGTCGTAATAATCGTGTGATGAAATAGATGAAAGGTTCAAAAGAAGGAATTGTTGTTGCTGGCAGTAGGAACGATCCAACACAATTTCCATGCTATAAAGGATTGGTTGTTGATCACATGGGTACAATATATGTGGCTGAAACGAGAGCTCACCGAATATTGCGTTGGTGTAAAAGAACTTCACAATGGGATGTTATTATCAGTCAAACGGAGCAAAGACACGAAAATGAAATCGAATGGCCTGAGGATTTATCAATGGATCGACAAGGAAACTTTTATGTTGTCGAGTACTACAGGCATCGACTACAAAGATTTGATGTTGATCAGAGCTAACATAACCATCCTCAAGATATTATCACATTTTTCTCTTTAACTTTAATGATATATTATACACATAAAGTGCATCTTTATAGAATTTACGATATAAAAAATAACAAAATGAATGTTGTAACTGTTTTAAATAATCATACTGTGCTAATCAATGCACATCTATCTAATTTTATGCATAATAATTATGCGAAATGAGTACATCAGCCAGAATTACCAATTGATCTTCTGTGAACTGTTCTCGATGTTCATGCCACGAATCGTGATGAGTCCGACGAAACTCTAACAAACATTCTTTGACTGATTTCTAAAGATAAAAATTCACGTGTATTCACACAAAAGTTAATTCAAAGATACATACTTGAATCAGATCAGGATCGTGTGAATGTTCACAGAGTAGCATTAATGCATTTGGTACATGAATAGGAATATCATAGGGACTTGCCAAAACAATCGCACATAGTCCCAAAACACCTACAGGAAACAGGAAGTAAGAATCAATTTCCTCACTTGATCTTATAAATATGCATACTAACCGCCATGTCGTTTGACAATATTTTTTGATAATATCACCTTGTTGCCATCGACTTTTGTGGAATAATTAATCTTGCTCATTTCACGAAAATATTTCTATTACAATAAATACATGAAAATATACTTTAATAAAAGAAAGTCATCCTACTAGATCTTCATCAGACACTTTAAGATAGCCACATTGGTAAAGACCAGACAAAGTTTTCAAGGCAGCTGTACGCACTTCGAATTGTTCATCAAACAAACATTTGAGTACAAATTCATGTACTTGTTTTGCATAAGGACGAGCATTGAATAGATTACAAAAGATCATGTTTTGTGTAAATTCAATAGCTGCTCGACGTGCATGCCACTTAGGACTGCTGCAAACCTATTTATAACAGTTAGACAAAGACATTCCGAACTATCTATCCAGTGAATACATACTTCTGCTAATTTTTGAATAAGTGCTTCCAAATAGTGTGCATTCAGATAACTCATAGCGAGACATAGTCGACTCATTGTTAAATTATTTTGAAAGCTATCATCGTTAGCCGCAATACTTTCGATTTCGCAGAGCTAAAAAGATATTTTCGTTTTAACCATTTTATATTAATATATATACATACATAGGGAAAAAGACGAATGATGGCATCTTTTACTGGTTGTGGACACCAGAAAAAGAATTCTTTGTGCATTCTCACCACTACATCACATCGAAAAGATAAAACAATGGATATATGTTACGTCGTTTCATACCTGTTTCCATAAAATTCAATGCTTTACGCGCTTCAAGATCAATCTCAAAGCCTTCATCCAACACATTCACTAAAAAAAATATTGTTTCAATAAAAATAGATGATAAACTAGAATCTCATCTTACTCAATGGCGTCTTTTCATAAACTTCAATAGCTAGATGTAATCGTTCACATATGTTATCGATAAATTGATTGACATTTGGTTGACGTGTCGATTTTCCATCTAATAATTCCACATCGAAGCTAAGCGATACCGATAATATACTAATGAAAAAAAAGACAAAATTTAATTTCATATCAATAAATTAACTTCGAATTTTTGCACTCACTAGGCAATAGATTTTCGTATATCTTCGGATGGATGATCAAGTAGTAGTTTGGCATGTTCATTAATATCACACCAAATTGATGGAATACGCCATTTAAAAGAAATTAAAGTTTGAATTAAAGACCATCGTGCTGTCTCATTGAATATATTCGACACTATTTTAGGATCAATCAGCGTACGAACAAAGTGAATCAATCGATACATTCGACGAGGATCTTGATTTTCCTTTTGAAAAAGAAAAGTTCTTTTTGTTGTCAGGGGGAAAATAATAAACATAACTAACCATACTACACATGAAGCACATGTTCCAGTAGGAGAGTGTTTCAGAACTCAAACTCATACAAACTTCTGTGAGCAATGGTGTGAGTTTTTCCCAGAGTTCATTAAGCTAAATTAAATATATTGATTATCATCAGTCACAATGAATATATATTTGGCTCACCATTTCTAATGTCCAATATTTTGAACCAGCAATAATACCAGCTACTATTTCAGCTGCTACTCGATTACTTCTTTCTTGTTTTTCTGTTGTCTTTTCATGAATGAGTACGTACAATTGTTCCATAAAGTTATCCAGGAATGCAAGACCAAAATTGTCAAAAAGGCCCTAGTCGACAACATATTCAAAGAGAAAATCTTTATTCTTTCTATCTACCTTGAACATAAAAAATCGAGTTTTATTGAATTCTGTCACATCATCTTCTTCATCATCAAAAATCATCAATTGTATAACTTGTATTATAAAATTCTTGTCAATAAAATGATCATATAGAATAGCCACTTGTTCTGGCATATTATTTTGCGTGTAACGTTCTCGTTTATTCATCGAATATTTGATTATCTTTGGCCAACAATAATATCCATGGTATGATTTATCTAAAAAGCATGTTTGTTCCAATTCGATCTGTTTTTCAGGTGGTTTATAATCATTAATTGTTATCCATAGATTATCCTCACGATCACCCGGATGACAATGATCATCAGTAATGTCCAGAATTTTTTCTACATAGATTCCAGGTGGCTTTTGTAAACGACAGAGCGCTGCAATAGCTTTTGTGGCACACTAGAAGAATTAAACAAAAAGATCTCATCTCCCATATCCATCAGAACTTCTTAACGAACCTCTCGCAATTCAATATTATCATGAACGAGAAAATCAACAAATGTTTTAACACATAACGATGGAATTGACACATGCTTTTGAAGAAGAAGGCGTAATAATGATATTGCTATTTTTTGCTGTCCCCATGTTCTGAATATTCACAAAAATAATGATAAGATATCAAAAAAACCAAACTTACAATATGTCTTCGTTAAGTAATGAACTAAGTGTTTCCATTAGACTATTGTAGGATTGAATATTAGTTTGATTATATAGTTTCATTTCGTTAGTATCTAAAGTGCGCCATAGAGCAGCTGCCGCACGTTTTGATATCTCATTGGTACTTTGAATGATTACTTCGGTAACGAATTTTTCGTTAATTTTGTCAGTAATGTCTTCAATCAAGTTTCGTGTGCTAATTTGATTTTCGTGAGTTATACGTACAATCCATGGCCACAATTTTTCCTTCATCGCCCATGAATATTCTGTGGGTAAGAAAAAAGAATCATTACCCAAAAGAATATGCAGACAACCCTAGATGACATATAAATGAATTGAAACGAAAATGAGAATGAGAAATGATCAACTTTGATTTGATAATGATCGACTTCATTGGACATATTAAGTAGCTCAACAATACGATCCACAATTAATTGAAATGAAAAATGGTAACAATTAAGAATATCAAACAATTCTTTTTGTGCTTGATACCGTACCTGAGTTTTACTTAAATTAAAATCTTCAATAAAAAAAATATTTCTACTTACTTCACTGTATCGATTTATCGATAATTCAAATAATTTGAGTATGACCTGCTTGTCGATGTCATTCAATACTCCAGAATTGCTTAGTTCAAGCTCCTAAAATCATAGACATATTTATTGTATTTCAATATTTTTCGATTACTTGAATTCTCAGTTCCATTCTTTGAATCATTAAAAAACGAATATTCTGTCCTTCGCCACACAATTTATTCTTTAATAATTTTTCCTGAGAAGTAAAATCATCGAGCAAACATTCAACATCATCTTTATGCAGACCATAATAAATAGATGTCGATGAATACAACTACGAATTAAAATATATACAGATATGAAAAAGAACCATCGATATAATTTCTTTTTACTTCTAGAGCTTCTGTTATCGATGAAACATCATCCGAATGATTTTCTATAAGCACATCTATAGGAGAAGAAAAAGAAAATCTCTTTAATTTTATTCCTATAATAAAAAACCTACCCAGTAGTTTTCCAATATCAGAGAGAAGACGCATTCGTAAGTTTTCTTTGAATTCTAAAATTAAAAATGAAGTTGATAAATTACGTGAAACTATTTATCATACTCGGTTCTTTGGAATAAATTGAAAATTGAATCTGGTATTTTGAATCATAAGGAACAACTGATGGTATACTAGAAGATTTTTTCAATTATATCTAACCGATTGTTATATTTAATATTCACTTACAGATCGTTCACTTGTTTACTTTCAATTCTTGGTACCATGCGAAAGCATCCATTGGCGATGGATTTAATAATAGTGAGCGATCTTAATCGTTCAGTATTCGACATTTGAAAGTTATTTTCATTCAACAAAGTTAATTCAGAATAGATAAATGTATCGACAAATTCACAAGCAAAATCAATTTCATCGACATTTGGAATATGAAATTGAACTTCAAGTTTATTAGCATTTACATATTGTCCCCATGCCTAAATAAATAATCCTTATATAGACAATATTTGAAGTGAGAAGAAGAACTAACTCGAATTGGTAAAAAGTCGACAAAGGGTTCTTCGATATTTTCCATAGTCAGTCGATAATCAATTGGATATGTTTGAGAAAGTGATTTCAATAAATTACGAGTAGCATTAGAAATAGCTAGATATGAATCTTTGTTAATAATATGAATACATTGTTGAAAGACCGACATAATCATTTTTTTATAGATAAGTAAAGTATCACCACGAGCATTGAGAAGTTCCGCAAAGAGAAACAAATACCAAGTAAGTTCCACATCGCCTTCATGATCAGTTAATAATATACTTGATCCAGAATTTTGTATTATTTTGTCGATAGATTCACATGTTTTAGGTAAGAGATACTTCAGTGTTTCAACTGGATTACCCTTGACAAGTGCTTGAATAAGACTACAGATGATACCTCGTGCTTTAGACGATAGACATGCATTAGCAATAAAATTGACCAATTTTTCTCGAATTATCTAAATATTCGATCTTTGATTAGCATGTTATGAGATAGATGTAAATACTTACTTGAAAGATTTTATTACTACAATTTTGAATAATATGGAACATGATCGATGCCAATTTCAATTCGATAACAAGATCATTTAAGTCGAAATCTGTATCAGTCGTGACAGCATCGGATATATCTGTTGATAATAGATCAATCATTTGAAATATTCGATTAAGAAATTCAATAATGAAATCTTCGAATTGTATTGTTGATAAACATACTTCTTTTTCAATCTATGATAACAAAAAGAATGAATTATTTCGTGTGAAACTGGACGTTAAATCTCTTACTTCTGTTAGATCATTTCGAGTATTCACAGCAGATGAACAATCAACACATGTAATAAGCATAAGCATAGTTTCAAGAAAGTCTAATGTAACTGATGCTTTTTCGAAATCATTTAAATCAATACCAGGTAACACGGACATGAGCAATGGTAGTACATAAGTTTGCCCTTGAGAATAAGAAGGTGTTTGTTGGACTATTTGACGAGCAATATGTGTTAAACAAGTCATGATTGATGTAAAACGATGTGGTTCAGTCATGCTATCAATAGATAAGAAGTGCCTACAAAACGAATCAAGAATCAATGAGTTAATAAGAAAATCAAGTAGTAATATCAAACTTTTCGACAATTGGTGGTACAATCAATTCTGGTCGAAGGATCGAAAGATAATGGCAAGCATTAGCTGCTTCTTCAGTATGGTCCTTGTTAAAAATGGAGATGAATGCATATTCTTTAACACAATTGACAAAGTCGGTAATGTTTTGTCCAGTGAGTCGATATGACTCTAATGGTGCGAAGTACCAAATCGGACGAGTGGTATGTTCTCTAAAATTTTGTTTATAGACCAACACATGCGAAACATTTTATATTCATACTTACAAATAAACTCGAGTAACAAAATATTCAGCGAGCTTTGAGACAAATTTAACAAGATCCTGTTGAAATCCACCCGTATTGGATGGATGATAGAAGCTTTTGATAGTAATAAATAGATCTTGCACGTATTGAAGACATGAACTTCCATTGCCCATCATTGAAACAATCCATTTTGTTAAATCCGACACACTATAATTATCTTGTAGTGAAGGCATTTGCATTTTACCGATCGGAACTGAGAAACCTCTAAGTATACGTGTGAAGATCTAACCGAAGAGCATTTTAATATTAGAAAGTTAAAAACATCTTGTTACTTTCGGTAGCCAAGGTTCCCAATCAATATAGCCAATATTGTTCCATGCCACAGATGAAAATAGACCGACTAGATACTAAATCAAATTATTATTGATAATAAGAAACACAGTGAATAAGAAAGCTAACATTTTCACACGCTGCTTGATTGTATATACTTTCCCATATAGAGAAAAACTCCGAGAGCCATAATCTGAAGACAAGTACATGATAAATAAGGGAAGAAAGAGAAAGAAAATAAACAAACTTGAATCCTTGATTGTGTAAATCCGGAGGCAATTTGACTGGTAAGAAAAGTTTGAACATTTCAATGATATCACCAAAATTCCAGTCAGTGGGACACATTTTTGGGCGCAATTCATCCAAAATTTCCTGAGTAGACATTACTGAGAAGTATGAAGAACAAAAAGTTACACAGATAGACAACGATTGATCAATACGTCTATAGAAACAACAAGAATTTCGTTCTGTTCTTCGATTGAAAAAAATTATACGAACTCGGGCAAAACAACTAATCCATAAATTTTATCACGATTGTTACGAATACATTGCATCCAATCATATAATATCCGCCAATCAATGGTCAGATCATCTCGTGTGATTAGACGAGCATTTCTATAAAATTGTATATTACTATCTTTGAATTGAACGAAGCAAGTAATTAAATACAAACCGTAAAAGCTCAGTGAGCATATCAACACATATTTTCACATGTACATAATTCAAATCCGTAATGGAAAGGATAGATAGATAATAATCGATAAGTTTGAGATGATCGACTTTAGTAAAATGAAAACCATAGTGTGAAATGAATTGTTTTAGTTTATTTGACCATATTGAAAAGCCAGGTTCTAATTCTCCAAGTTGAATAGTATGTGATAAATTTTCTCGAATTTCATTAAACAATGTAATAGCTTGCTGTTTGATGGATTCATAGAATGGCGAATATTTGTTATAAATATCCGGTTTCTGTAAATCGTTATCGATTAAGTGACTACTCATTTTCTATATCTGAAAACGTATGCAATAGGAAGGTTTAACATCTAAGCATATGAGCGAAAGAAAAAAAAACGAAAGTCATAGTAAAAGAATTTATTAGATGCATTGATGACTCGTTATCTCTATTCTCTTTCTCGATGGTAAAGTGAAGAATGAGAACAATAGCGAGATTTTAACATAGATAAACTTTAATCTGAACAAATAATTCTTTATTTTTACCTCAGATTGTATATTGCTGTTGTATTTTTCTCTGGGAATGAGTTTGATTCATTCTTTCTTATTCATAAAATACGCAAAGAATAAAACTGTAAATATTGGCATAGAGTTATCGTTTAATCGCTGTTCTCTAAATATATGCCATATGTTTTTCAGCCAATCTATTTAAACCGAACGTAAAAAAAATCATTCTTACATTACTCACTTTAAAGCGAAAGATGTTGAGTCATGGACTATAAAACATCAGTCTGTTTTGGTTGGTCTTTATTATATCATAAAAAAGATGTCACTTTCATACAAGTAGTTCATTACGTATTGTTTTGCCTTGATGTATAACTATTTATTATTAAAAATCTTTCAAGATAATATGAAAATTAAAACATTAAACTTATTGACGTATTAAATATTGGTAACTTAAGAATAAATAAATGTATTCTACTGAATTCAATTAGTAGTATTCGGGGTGTGGCTTTTGGCGTGAATGAAATCGCGTAACTACACACACTCACCCACACCCTGGCTTCAGTTGACATACAGCAATTAGATAATCATAAGCTGCAGAATTTGACTTAGGATGGTAGATAAACCATTCAATCTATCAGCTACAGTATAATTTCAGTTGTCAAACAATCGAACACTTTCTTTATCTTAATATAATTATGTCATCACGATTAAATAGAAAAGGAAGGCAATGGATGTGATTGCAACTATAATATTTTATTTGTCCCACCCTAATCATTCACACTCTCACCTTCATATAAAAAAATAGTATTTTTATTTAATGTAAAAAATTTCACGCGGTTTACAAGCTTTTTTTAAAAACACATGTAAATGCTGTTAAAATCTATTATTTGGTTTAGATACAAGGATTTCTTATATGTCAATGATTATAATATAATACATTTCACCATATATGTATAAATAATGAAAGAGAAACCGAAAATAAATTGTTCATTATATGTTTTTATTTTCATGAATTCTTGTCGGTATGAATATAAGTATCATAGAAATATATTAATGCTTTAAGATCTTCTGCCTGTTTTAATTTGTCCCATTCTTTATCAAAGATTTTTGGAAAATCTGTATTATCCATTGCGATATCTGTTTTTAATTTATAATTAAATTTCATTCGTTTAACTGTACTAGATTTTGCTACATTATTTGAAATTATTTCAGTTAAACTACATGTAGCAGTCATCAATGTATTTATTAATTGCCCGTCATGCATCATCCATCCAATAATACCAGTACCATCTGATAATGATATTGGTGTATTATAATCACATGTACCAACGGATAGTATATGATAATTTACTAATTTTTTCCATTGCATTCGTATAGCCCACAATGCCATTAATTCTGGATCATTAGCAAAAAGACCACCATCAATAAATATTTCAGGCGTTACTTCATTCGATATAAAACGACCATTTTCTATTATTCCAGTTGATACTGGTTGAGGTGGAAAATAAGTTGGTGCAGCCATTGTTGCTCTTAATACATCAGCAATACGATAACCCCAATGTTTAGCATAACTTGTATTAAATATAGTCGCCCTATTTTGTGTTGCATTATAAGAATTAATAAGTAAAACTCTTTGTCGTCTAACATAATCACATTTATTAGATGAATTCGTAATAATGGGTGTGTCATCATCATCATCAAGATATTCTAATAGATTAGAACGACGTGTTAGATTTGTTTTTAATACATCATCAGGAATACAAGCATCAGGATTTAAATAATTATGTATATCAAGTAAAGTTGCATTTTGTGCTGATAATTTTTTACCATTTTTCAATGTAATTGATTCAATAACTTGATCAATTACATTATGTAGACGAGAAGGATCATATTTTGATGAAAATAAAGGTCCCATATAATTTTTATTGAAATAATATGGTGCTCGTATATAAATATCTTTGACATCTAACATATTATAATTAACCGCCATAGAAAAAGCAATTAATGCACCTGTACTTGTACCAGCAAAATAATCAAATGAATTACAAAACTTTATTTGAGCTTGATGAAATCTTTCTTTATGTTCTAAATTTTTAGGATTCAATTTTTCAATATCTTTAAGATATTTTTCTTGTATTAAATGTTGAAGAACTTTTACAGACATATAACCACGACAACCTATTAAAATAAGAATAAAATATAGCGATGTTTTTTTCGAAAATCAATTACCTCCTCCATCACAACATAATATACGAAGTATTCTATCATATGCTCGCATATGATAATCAATAATCATTGAACCTAATTGTTGTTTTAATTCCGAATCACCATCTGTTAATGATTGATTTTGCATATGTTTTAATTTTGTTAAAACATAATACATATCTTCATCATTTCGAATTTTTTTCTCTTCAAGTACATACAAAAATTTTTCAGTTACTTTTCCAAAATCTATTGAAGTATCTGCAATCGATATTGAGTACATACAATCACTTGTTATTGGATTTTTATCAGCAAGATTTTCATGTATTTGTGAATGTTTCTTACGAACTGTATCTTCTAATTTATTGTAAGGATATGTATCACATACATTACATAAAGGAAATTTCCTGCATATTTTACATTGTTTCCAAGTAACATCAGAAATACTGATGTTACAATTTATACATCGAATACCTGTAGATATTTGACAGTCTGTTTGGAAATTTGATGATAACATACTGAGAAGAAAAAAATATTGATTGATTCTAGTATAATATTTGAGATGTGCTTCTTTTAAGGTTAATATAAGTAGAATACAGCTGATGAAAATTTGAAAAAGAAAAACAACATTGAATTATTATTAATTGATCATTTATTTGCAAAAGAATATAGAGAATGAAAAGAAATGAAAAAATAATAATAATGGCAGCAGATGGGTAAATTAATCTAGGAAATATTTCTTTTAATAGAAATAAAGATGCTCAAAATGAGTCCTTTGTCTCGAAGATGTATACTGTGTAATTCAGTGGTCTAAAATTTTTCCATTAAATCTAAAGAAAACCGAGTGAATGAATAGATAAAAGTCAATGAGTAGAAATGCAGAACAGTTTTGAGATTAGAATGAGATATTCATAAGGTGTATGAAGAAACAAAAATGTTCGTATCGTTTTTCTTTCTTGTATAAAAAGTAATAGTAGGTGCAGTGCCGGATTTAGGGAGGGCAATGGGGGTGATCGCCCCCCTTCCGAATCTTTTTTTATTTTTTACAGAAAAAAATGAACGAAAAAGTAGGTACACACTACTTCGGCTAGACTTAAAAAATAGCTTTTAGCCAAAATCGCCCCTCCCCCTTCCAAATTCCTAGATCCGCCACTGGGTAGGTACATCATCAAAATTCATGTCAAGTTAGCCTTCTATTCATGATTTAAGTAGACGTTGTATGTAGTTATTTGGTAGATGACTAATTTTAAATTGTTATTCGGATGTTGTTTAGAGAGGAATGTGTTCGTATCAGATTTTTTTAATTTATTTATAAAAAGTTATAGAACATGTCTATTCAAGAAATATCCATTGGATGATAAATACAAATTGCAGGAGATATAATACATATGGAGAAGAAAGAAAAAGATGTAACATATGTGAGATATAGAAATCAGTTGAAGAGAAACGTACTGAATGAATGGAAAAAATGTCAAGAATATATTATAAGAAGAAGGTTACCATCTGTTGCCGAAGATATTTTAAGAAAAAATGATGCGATAATTGAAGAATTTAGTGCAATTATCATCAAATATAAAAGCTATCATTAATAATTGTAAAGATATATAGTTCACAGGTACAATGACTAATAAAATATTGTAGAGTTAATATTGATACCATCAAAATTAATAATGTAAACGTTTGTTCACTGATGTTCTCAGAATTGTATTAGTACTGTTGCGAACAAACTAGTTATACATCACTTCTTTCGACTTCTGTCATCCTATAATGGATTTCAAATCAGTATTCAATGAAGTGATCATTCTAGAGGGTGTGGGCATATCTATTTTTTCTTAACCCACATTCATATCTACACCCACGCCCACCATAAATTACTTTATTAAGTGATTATAACTTTCGGGATACTCGGTATTTTATATTATTCATTGTAGTTACACAATATGATCTATATTTTTCATGATTTATTTTTGTGTACTTGATATATTCTACTACTAATGATTACAGAAATGCAAAAACGTAATTTCTTCAATTACATGATGAATATGTTTAATAACTGAAAGAAGCAAATGAGTAAAACAGAACTGCTGTATATCGCCATCTATAATGCATACATATGACGATTTCTTTGATCAATATTCACTTTTTTTCTCATTATTTGTCACGATACAAACCATAAGAAAAAATAACTCATCCCACTTTTGATTATTCACATTTCCTTTTTATTTAATACTTTTTCACATATTTTGTTCACACAAGTATTATTCTACAGTAATTGCACAATTTGAATGTAACCACTATTTTTTATATTTTCTTTCGATTGTTTATCATAATTTGAATTTATATACTAAGAAACAGGTATTTATTTTTTATATTATATCATAAGAATATTAAAATTATTTCTAGGATTGACTTTTAATCTATTACTGAGAACTAAAAAGACTATAATTTATAATGAGCAAAAAACGAGCAAATATTACTGAAATGGTACGCAATAACAGTGAAGATATCGCTGATTCATGTAGCTCTAAAAAACGAAAAATAGAAATGACTATGGAAGAGGTAATTAAGTCTTATTGTTAGATAATCAATGTTTTATAGTCTTATCTTGTATTCTTTATAGTATGATCAATATTTGATAGAAAAGAAGGATGGTAGATTTAAACGAACTGGAAATTGGAACGGAATGTATAGACGATTAGCACATGAATGTTGTGATACCGCATGTGGACGTAAGTGGGTACCTTCACCTACACAATGTTTGACAGATGATTATTATTGTCCGTCGTGTGTACTTCATCATCGAAATAATATGAATCGATTTTCAGAAGAACGATTGAAATGGACAGCTAATGTTCCAAATACATTCTATATATTTTCTCTTGTTGATCCAGGTACAAAAGAAACTGGTAAAATTGAAAGAGCTCTAATTAAATTTGGTCGTACTCAACATAAAGATGCTTTGAAAAGATATCCTACTGCAGAATTAAAACAATATCAAATGAAACTCTTATTAACTTTACGTGGAAAACTAATTACCATGACTAGAATTGAAAATTGGTGGAAAGAACAAGCAGAAGAAAATAAATGGTTCATAAGATTTAGTAACAGTGCTTTTCATGGACAAACAGAATGTATTCAAGTCAATGATAATGATCTAGCACAATTGATTGCCAAATCAAAAGAAATGGCAGCTATTGAAGAATAAATATAGATATGAAGGATTTTATATATATATTTATAAATGATTCAAGGAAAAGTAAAAAATGTTCTAAACTTGATTATTTTCTTTCTTTTGTGGATGTGGGTATATCATATCTATGGTACCCACACTCTCGTGATACATTTTATTACAAAACTGAAGCACGACAACAACAAAGATATATAAAAAAAAGACACTCCCATTTTACCAAATAATAAATATTTTCTTAGTGAAGAATATTAAATAAACAAAACAATGCAGAAATAAAAAATAACAGTTATTCGCTTACTAATTAAATCCTTATTGTTCAGTTTGTATATATTGTATACAATATGAAAGAAAAGCTGTTCGAATGTGTATGAACAAAAAAAGCGATTTAGTAGGTGATTGACTGTTATTTTTCGATTCTTATTTATACTGAAACAAAGATGAAGAAGCGATTGTCTGTTACACTTCATTCTCAATATTTACATATTGAGATAGTTTGTCATCCGATTTCAATTGTATCACTTGAATATCAATAAATTTTAGGTTTTTTTTGAGTTAATAAATCGACAATATTCGTTTAATTGATGTAATTCAGCATAAAGTCTAGAAAAGACAACATAGATTTTCTTTCAATTTTAGGAGAGATATCAACTATGCAGAAAATATGAGATATGGAAGAAATGTAACACGGAATTACCGTTCATTCTCACCATATCTTCGATTTTCTGAGTATGTGATACTAACAAATTTTAACTAGATAACAACATTAAATGCAAAATTATATTCACAATAATTAAAATAAACATGCTCTAACATATATATATATATAACCAACCTGTTTGTTAAACATCTGACTCATGCAAACGAAACCTGATAGAAAAAAAAAATATTAGAATATTATCTATCCTTATTTTTTGGAATATTTAATGTAGATATTTACTAACCGTTCAATTTTATTTTCACATTCAATACGACGATATTTCTCTTCTTGATATACATTAAACATTGGAGAGTATTGTGGATAGACTAAATTCTACAAAAAGAAGCAAATATTTTTTTCTCTTTCGTTGAAACAACTTCACATATTCATTTTTATTCAACATACTTTATTTAAATTTGAGTGACTAAATGCTTTAACACCCATTTTTGGTGGTAAATATTGTCCGGTTAAAGCTATTTGTGGTTGTATTTTATTAACTTGTTCATCTGTTTTTAAAGAAGTAATACTTGGATTACTTGTTACAGATGTATTATTATTATTAGATGATGCTAAGTTTTGCGTAGTCTTATTCGAAACAAGCAATGGTTGTTGAGGAGATTCATGATGACGATCAATTGCTTGTTGGGATGAGTATTCAGTAGAAAGATTATTAATGAAATAAAGTGGTACAGTTAATTGCTCTTTTTTCTGATAACTATGAGTTTTTGAATCTTCTACATGATGATCTTGTGGTGCAGGATTTATTGTTTCCAATACAGATTTTTGGTTATTATGTGATGACGAATAATTTTGATTGAAATTTTGTGATTTTTTATTCGATAATTCATGGAGTATCGATTCTAATTCATTTAATGATTCTCGTATATTTATATCAAGTTCTACAAATAGATTTGTTAATGTTGTATGAAGAATAGCATATTCTCGTCCTAAATCAATATCGTCGTTAATTATTTCCGACTCATTAGAATCAATCGTCTTTAAAGAAGAACAAATAATTATATACATATTAAAATAAAGTTTTTAACTTACAGAGATTTTAATAAAAAATCTTCGCATATTATCAGATTCTTTACTCACAAAAGTATTCATGAATTTCATATACGATTCTTTGGAACCAAATCTTGAAAGAAAAAAATTTATTACATTATGAAAAAAAAACTTTTTGATTACTTTGAGAAATTTGCTAATGTTTGTAATGTTTTAGCAATTAAAGTTAATTTTCTTGATGCTTTTTCACTTGGATATTCTAATGCAGAGATTAGAAAAAAATTAAATTCATCAATATTATCTAGCGGGAGTATCCCATGTGGGTCGGGAAAATTTAACGCTTCGCTCTTGAGTATGAGGTATGGGTGCGACTATTTTTCATCGACACCACATCCTCAATATCTTAGTTTGTCTAACTAAACTTATAACAAGAAAATTTTACCTTGAGTCAGACCAAATAGATTAGGTGATAAAATAGCAGGACAAAGAAATCGAAGAAAAACTGAACCACTTAAAAAATTGAATATTGTTTCATCATTTAATGATAATTGTCGAAGTTTCCAAAATATATATTTTAGTTCACTAAAAACAAATAGTCTTAATTGAAATGAGAACAAAAAAAAATATTTTACTGAGGAAATGAAATATATGATTGTTGAATTTCTAACCAAATTTGTTCGCATAATAATTTTAATGTTAATTGATTTTTTTCTAAATTTTCAATATTTATTATTCGATCAGGATCAACTTCAAGTTCTATATCATTGAAATTCTTTGATAATATAATATCTATTATAAAATGTGTCAATGTTTTATGTAAATATGTTTCACCAATTAATTTCATATATGATTCCATAGATTTTGTTGCAATAGAATTACCACGAAATGTTAATGAATTATCTGATGTAGATAATATTTCTGCTTGAATTATATCAACAAGATATGAAATGGAATAAGATAATGATTGAGCAATACGTGTCAATGATGTAGCTAAAAGAAATAATCTTGTTATATATATATATTTAACCCTCCGGAGGTGTCCGTATTTTATCACACGAACGATGTATGACCCATATGTAAATACATAAGGAAAACGTGACTTTTCATCTGTAGTGTACGTAAGATGCTGATCATCCACAAAAAAAGGAATCACGATTATCGTAAGCAAAAGTTAAGAGGATGGTGAAAATAAGGATAGAGAAACAAATAATTCTTTGTTAGCAGCAACAAATGAACTAATTTTCAATAAATAGACCTTCAGAACAATAGAGAACATACGTAATACGAATGTTGTCAGGGGGTACAAACGGACCTACACTATAGTTTTGTAAGAAATTTCATGTCATTTTTATGCATCACTAGAAGGCTAACGATTAGCGAAGAGATTGTTTCGAATTGCATAGATGTTAAAGTAGAAAAAAACATTACTATGGGTCTCCTGGGACCCACAAACACCTCGGAAGGGTTAAACATATTTCGATCAAGTTTTTAGTCTGTTTAGAAATAAACAGGAAAAGTCTAATCTTATAAATTTCTAATGCAAATAGTATTTCATCTGAATAAATTCTATAATGGTTACTATCCGATAGAGATAATCCTATAGAACGTTGATGATTTAATTATGCTTGATATATTATTTAATGATTATTTCAGTATTCTATCAATACTTTAGGTACTCTGGAGAAAGTATTGAGTTTAGGATGCCATCATACTGATGTAGGTACCCTAGATTTGTTGTGTTCTGTATAATTTTCTTTTCCATACACAGCTTCATATAAGCAACTCGTCAAGACATAAGAGATTATAATTTTTGCTACTCGAGAACATACTAATCTTGATCGTAAATTAAGAAAGGACTTTCCTAAAGCGATTTGAACAACTGAAATCTCCCGAAATTTTACCTACTTGGGTTTTCAAAATTGGAAAGATTGAATTCACCCTGACCCTCAAAAATGTCATTAATTGCTTTGAGAAGGAGACGGAAAAGTCAAACGTTAAGTTATATCACACTGACTCTCGAGAATGTATCTTCCTTAATTAAAATTCCAAACTTACCAATTTCATCTTTATCTTTTAAACTAATATTTGGTTCGAGTATTTCAATAAGTTGAAGATAGTTTTGACGAATATACTAAAAAAAATCAAAATCATATTTAATCATTTAGATTTTATTCTTAATACTTCTTGCAAATTAAAATATAAATCAATTGATAAAATTTCAATAGTTTGATATTTCGTTTTAATTCTTATCGTAACCGCTCCATCTTGTATTTTTTCTTTTGTATTTCCTATTTGTATTGGATACCATCGTTCAATAAATTGATTGCCAATTATCGTTGATAATGGTATATCAACATAACCAATTACTTCAATACCATGTTGTTTTTGTTTATGTCGTTCAATGTAGAGTTTACATTGAAGTATAGAACAGCCTATTTATTTAATTAAGAAAATAAAGAAATAATCTTTAAAAGTAAAAAACCTTCTGGTAAATCTTTGAAAATAAAATTTTCTCCCCAAAAAAGTGCATCACGTCGTTCAATATTTGTTGTTTTACCATAAATATCATTATCAAGAAATATTTTAATATAATATTTACAACTAAATATAAATTTGTATTTTTTCGAAAAGAAAAAAAAACTAAAAATTTATTTTTACTTTTTTTTTGTTGGCAAACCTTTTGCTTCTAAAATCCAAATATCTAATGAATTATCAATTCGTAAACCATGATTTATATTTTTTAAAGATGAATTTTGTAATTGTTTTAATAATACAGAATTTTCTTTCGAACGTAAATAACAAATTTTAGTCTTATTTTTATTTTGTATTTCAATAATTGTCGATGAATTATTTAAATTCGATGAAGAAATAATACTGGGATGAAGACGACGAATATGACAATTGTTCAACATTATTTCAGCTGGTTTTGATGGTAAAATTGAACCTAATGGACCATTGGAAATGAATAGGGATTCATGTGAACGAGAACGAGTTGATGGAATATTACTGAAAATATGTATTTTTGTCATAGGAAAAAAGCTGTAATAATTCTTACAGTAAAGATGGTTGATTTTGTATAATATTCAAATGTTTTTGTCGTTCTAATTTCGTTACACTTTTTGTACGTTTCAATGTTGGTAGAAAATGTTCAAGATGATTTGATGATCGAGCAAAAAAATGTGAAAATTTTATTCTTGATTGTCTTGGTATACTTATGGAAGAAGGACGATCTGGTGATGAATCTACATAATGGAATTTATTTAATGTACATTTACATGCAAACAAAAGAAATAACCTTGACAGAAAAAAAGAGAATATCGAAATGACACTTCCGTTTAGAAATCAAATGTTCTAACGACAAGAGAAATAAAGGCATTATTATTATCTTACCTATCAATGAACTCGAATAAATAGTTTTGATTTTTTCATCTGTTACAATTGATGATGATAATGTTTTGGATAATGATGGAGTTATAAGTTCAGATAATGTTGGTAACATACTATTTGCTTGAAATACATTAATTGATGTACGTCTATCATGTGTTTTATACAAGGACGATGAAGACGATGATGATGATGATACTGAAACTGTCTCATAATTTAAATCAATTGTAGGCATTGGTTTTACTCCATTATTTGTTGAACGAATACACTAGAATTGATTTATAAAAAAGTATCTCATAATTATTCTAACATACCATTAAATAACGATTCATGAATATAAAAAATTACTTTTCATTATTAAAATTTAGCAATTACTTTCTATTATATATAGTACTATTCTAACAGTTCAGAGAAAAAGAAAAGATTTCGTCATATATATATATATACATATACGAATAAACAGTCAGCATATGTATCCTTTACACATTACTCGATATGATGATACGTGGTAAGACATCAACATAAGATGATGGACATATACAAAAAAGGAATACTTAGAAGGTCAATCTAGCTGATGAGCTCATCTCGATATTGTTTATATAATTATGATAATAAATGACATACTTCATCAGAATAAAAAGTTAATGTACGTTTTGATTGATTTAATTCGATGTATTTCGAATTCCAATTATGTTGATTATTGAAATTATCTATTTTAAATAAACAAAGAATTAATATACAAACAAAGAAAAAAGTATGTATTTTTTTTAATTACTTGAAACATCGAACCAACCATATAAGTTTTCTAATGATTGATTATTTCTCATTTTGAATAAATTTTATTTTACAAATAATGGAAAGTATCTGACATTGACATCATCGATGAGAGATTTTTAACACTCTCAACACATTAGTTTCACAAAGCGAGAGAGAGAGAAACTTTTTTTCTATGCTAAAAATATATAGGAAAGTAACAGATTTTTTATAATAAATTTAGATATTCTGAACGATGTATCGTT